TGTGTGTGTGTCTGTGTGTGTGTCTGTGTGTCTGTCTCTGTGTGTCTGTCTGTGTGTCTGTGTGTCTGTGTCGTGTCTGTGTCTGTGTGTCTGTCTCTGTGTGTCTGTGTGTCTGTCTCTGTGTCTGTGTGTCTGTGTCTGTGTGTCTGTCTCTGTGTGTCTGTCTCTGTGTCTGTCTGTGTGTCTGTGTGTGTCTGTGTGTCTGTGTGTGTGTCTGTGTGTGTGTGTGAGTGAGTGAGTGAGTGAGTGAGTGTGTGAGTGATGTGTGTCTCTGTGTGTGTGTGTGTCTGTGTGTGTGTCTGTGTGTCTGTCTCTGTGTGTCTGTCTGTGTGTCTGTGTGTCTGTGTCGTGTCTGTGTCTGTGTGTCTGTCTCTGTGTGTCTGTGTGTCTGTCTCTGTGTCTGTGTGTCTGTGTCTGTGTGTCTGTCTCTGTGTCTGTGTGTCTGTGTCTGTGTGTCTGTCTCTGTGTCTGTGTGTCTGTGTCTGTGTGTCTGTCTCTGTGTCTGTGTGTCTGTGTCTGTGTGTCTGTCTCTGTGTCTGTGTGTGTGTGTCTGTGTGTCTGTCTCTGTGTGTCTGTGTGTCTGTGTGTGTCTGTCTGTGTGTCTGTCTCTGTGTGTCTGTGTGCGTGTCTGTGTGTGTCTGTCTCTGTCTCTGTGTGTGTCTGTCTCTGTCTGTGTGTGTCTGTGTGTCTGTCTGTGTGCGTGTCTGTGTGTGTCTGTCTCTGTGTGTCTGTCTGTGTGTCTGTCTCTGTGTGTCTGTGTGTCTGTGTCTCTGTGTGTGTGTGTGTCTGTGTCTCTGTGTCTGTCTCTGTGTCTCTGTGTGTCTGTCTCTGTGTGTCTGTCTGTGTGTGCGTGTCTGTGTGCGTGTCTGTCTGTGTGTCTGTCTCTGTGTGTGTGCGTGTCTGTGTGTGCGTGTCTGTCTCTGTGTCTGTGTGTCTCTCTCTCTCTCTCTCTCTCTCTCTCTCTGTCTGTCTGTGTGTGCGTGTCTGTGTGCGTGTCTGTCTGTGTGTCTGTCTCTGTGTGTGTGCGTGTCTGTGTGTGCGTGTCTGTCTCTGTGTCTGTGTGTCTCTCTCTCTCTCTCTCTCTCTCTCTCTCTCTCTCTCTCTCTCTGTGTGTGTGTGTTCATCTCTCAGGTGCAGCAGCTTCTCTCCATGTGTGTCTCCTGAGTCCCGGAGTGTGTCGTGCTGTTGTTCTTCTGTTCGGATTGACTCAAGGTCATCATGGCGAGTAAAGCGGGAGACGACCCAGACAGCCTGATGTCTCTGTGCACCGTCTTCTGCCTGAAGAACCTGCGGAGAACCATGTGCTACAGCGAAGGCGAGCAGAACCGGCTCCAGCTGCGGCCCGACGTCTTCCTGCCCGGCGAGATCTGCGATCGGCTGGTCAATGTGTGGGTAGAGCTTAACTTCCAGAGATATCCTCGACTTGATTGCACAGATACTATCTGAACTGAACTGAGCTGGATGATGACATCACTGAATCAATGATGAACTGCCTTTAACTGAGTGTTTACTGTTGTCCTTTTGCATTATTACACACTATTTTCCTGTTTAATACAGTAAAGCTGCAGACACGGTCTGTGTTGATTGTACTGAGTCTCCTGGAGGAGTGTGTCATGTGCCGATGGTGACCTGATGCCTCTGATCCGCAGGTACATGGATCTGGTGCACACTGACAGCGACTTCGAGCCGCAGGACGGCTTCTTCCAGCTCTTCAGTGAGCCGCGCAGCACCAGACTGACCCGCCTGCAGCTGAGGGAGGATCTGGTGCGAGACCGAGACCTGGAGGCCATCGGGAAACAGGTGAGAAACTCCCGCTGTCCTCCGTCACCAGCATCACCAGAGCCAGTCAGATCCACTGTTGCCAACTTCTTTCAATGGAAAGTAGCTAAAGCCAGATTGAAAAGTCACTAAATGTCGCTAGATGACTAATTAGCATATTCATGACATCATTGCATCGTGTAGAGACAGAGTGCATTTAGGCCACGCCCACACCGGCGGGGGCGGGGGGGGATCCAACGCTCTCCATTGATTTTGTATTGTGGGAAGCTTCCTCCTTGTCATTTCTGACTTTATAACAAAACACAGAACAATGTCTAAAAGCTGCTGTGTGACAAGGTGTACAGCAAACAAGCTACAAAACCCAGAACTACGTTTTTATAAGCTGTCGACCCCCAAAAAAACGCGTGTTTAGGACATGAAGCGTTGAATGAGTTCTGATTTGATTCGTTCGGGTTTGAAGGAGCTGGTTTGCTGAAATGAAATGAACTCCAACAATTTCAGTGACTCCAAACTAAACTACTGCCAAAGTTTAACAAAATAGTTCTCAAACTCGTTTAGATTTAGATCGTCTCTCCAGATCACAAACTGCTCTTTATTAGTTCTTCTAACCATGTCTGTCCTGCACTGATTCCTCTAGAGACGTGTCTGTGTGATGTTTGCAGGATCTGATGGAGCTTCACCTGACCTACTGTAGCCGTCTGACGGCGCGCGGCCTGCGGACGCTCTGCAGCTTCAGACACTCGCTGCTGTCGCTCAGTCTGTTCGGCTGCTCCAGCGTCTTCTTCAGGAAGAGCGGCGCTCCGCTGGCGGCCGGCGAGGACGAGGACGAGGAGGAGCGTGTGCAGCGGCACACCGTGGACCTGGACTTCAGCTTCCAGGTAGGCTGGCTGCCATAGTCCGTGTTTACGGTCTTACGGTGTGTTCACACCAAACGCATCACTCGCTCTAGATGTTTTTTGTGTCACTCGCACAAATAAAAACATCACACGATCAACCATGGTGGAGATAACTACGATCGCTGCTTTGTACCTGTTGTGAAAGTCCCGAATACGATGGAAAGCCAAAGCTGACGAGTCTGGTTTCACTGCACCATCCAGAGGAGGATGAGTACTGATCCAACATTAATGTGTTAAATGTTACTACTGCGTCATTCCCCGTCAACTCAACCAGAGGTCCCGGCTCAAATTTTTGATTTTGCTAATATTTATTCTGAAGAAAGATAAACATGTATAGTGATGAAAGCCAAAATATTAAAGTCCCCCTGTAGTGAAAATCAAGTTTTTTTTTAATGTTGTTTATTTGTCTATATAGTGTTTTTAATATGCCTTTAGACAAACCATGTGCCAATCTATTAATCAACACCATTGCTGTGTATTTTCTCCTTAAACTGTAGTTTCCCAAAGACTGACCCAGAAATGCGGTTTGAAACAGCCCTCGGTTTGCTACGTCACAAACCAATAACCAATCACAGTTCCTATCACTAGCATGCAAAATATACCAATACCAACACAAAACCAAAAATAAATTAAAGCAAAAAAACCCATGAAGCTGTGGTTTAATGTGAATTTAGAATCGCTAACTTGCATTATAACCCGTGGCAAGAGCGTAAAAGTATCAGACGCGCCTCTCCCGCAGCAGCGTCTGCACTTCACACGCGCGAATTAACAATCACAAACAGCTGCATTCCAGTCTTCAAGGCATTTTTAGGACACATCATCGTCAAGTAAGTAACTTTAACAAGTGTAACAGTATTCACTGTAGCTGTCCACTAGTAAAAATATAGTTTTATCAGTCATTATCCGTGTATGCCATTGTTTTGCGTTTACTACAGTTCAGTGGATTCAGGAGGCGGTGCTGTGTGACTGAGTGGAGGCGGGGCTAATTTGCATATTCATAGGTCAGCGTATAGTAAATGAGGCAAGGGTGTAGAGTTACATTCAAGCTATTTTAAGTAATGAGAAAATTATTTCTTGTGAATTATTTATTTATTATTATTATTATTAATGCATTGACTCTGTATGTAATCTACTCACGCTAATAATTACATTTGCGTTTGGTGTGAGCACACTTTACTGTTGAGGAGTGAGTCGAGCCGAGTGACAAGAAGAGTGAGATGAGACAGACCAGACGATAGAGGAAGATTTAGTTTCGAAGCGAAATGCAGAAGCGCATGTTTGGCAGTATTTTGGATTTCTAGTAAAAATATAGTTTTATCAGTCATTATCCGTGTATGCCATTGTTTTGCGTTTACTACAGTTCAGTGGATTCAGGAGGCGGTGCTGTGTGACTGAGTGGAGGCGGGGCTAATTTGCATATTCATAGGTCAGCGTATAGTAAATGAGGCAAGGGTGTAGAGTTACATTCAAGCTATTTTAAGTAATGAGAAAATTATTTCTTGTGAATTATTTATTTATTATTATTATTATTAATGCATTGACTCTGTATGTAATCTACTCACGCTAATAATTACATTTGCGTTTGGTGTGAGCACACTTTACTGTTGAGGAGTGAGTCGAGCCGAGTGACAAGAAGAGTGAGATGAGACAGACCAGACGATAGAGGAAGATTTAGTTTCAAAGCGAAATGCAGAAGCGCATGTTTGGCAGTATTTTGGATTTTGAAAAGCCTGTTGACTTTTGCTGTTTATCTAAGGTGATTTTGTATTAGTTTTGTTGATAAATGTTCTATGATTACATATAGGCTAAGAGAGTTTTGATGTTTAAAAGCGAAGGAAAGTGGGGAACAGAGGGAAAACTCAAAATGAAAATGTCCTCACCGTCACAACCCTAGGGCTTCAACCGTCTGCGTCTGCTGAACCTGGGAGGCCTGCCGGCGGAGCTGGACGTGGAGACGCTGCTGCGGCCGCTGCCCGCTCTGATCTCGCTGGACCTGTCGTCCGTCCATCTGCCTCGACCGGCCTTCCTCACGCAGTGGAGCGAGCGCCTGGCGTCTCTGGTGCTGTATAACGTGGAGCTGACGGAGGAGCTGATCCACACGCTGCTGCAGATGAGCAGACTGAGGTCACCTTTACACTAGCGGTTAAAAGATTGGAATAAATACAGTGATGAAAAGAAAGAAAGAAAGAAGTCTCTTCTGCTCACCAAGGCTGCATTTATTTAATCAAAAATACAGAAAAACAGTAAATTTTATTAGAATGTAAAACAGCTGTTTTCTATGTGAATATCTGTTAAAGTGTAATGTATTTCTGTGATGCGCAGCTGTATTTTCAGGCTTTCACACACACACACACACCACTCACTCACTCTTTCACACACGCACACACACACACGCACTCACTCTTTCGCTCGCTCGCACGCACTCACTCACTCTCACTCATTCACACACGCACACACTCGCTCACTCTTTCACACACGCACACACTCACTCACGCTCACTCTTTCACACACGCACACACTCACTCACTCTCACTCTTTCACACACGCACTCACTCACTCACTCACTCTCACTCTTTCGCACGCACGCACTCACTCACTCATTTTCGCACGCACGCACGCACTCACTCTTTCACTCTTTCACACACGCACACACACACACTCACTCTCACTCTTTCATACACACGCACACACACGCACGCACTCACTCACTCTTTCTCTCACACACACACACGCACGCACTCACTCTCACTCTTTCTCACACGCACGCACTCACTCTCTCTCGCACGCACTCACTCACTCACTCTCACTCTTTCACACACACACACACACACACACACACTCACTCTCACTCTTTCACACACTCACTCACTCACGCACTCTCACTCACACACACACACACGCACTCACTCTCACTCTTTCTCACTCACACACACACACACACACGCACGCACTCACTCTCACTCTTTCACACACACGCACGCACTCACTCACTCTCACTCTTACACACACACCCTCACACGCACACACACCCTCGCACGCACACACACCCTCCCACGCACACACACACACACCCTCTCACACGCACACACACGCTCACACACACGCACGCACACACATTTTAACAATTTATTTAAATCCACTAAAATAATTTACATGGACCTAAATATTGCAGATGCAGTTAAAGGTACACAATCATGAACCTGTGGCATACAGCAGATCTTCACAATAGTAAGCATATCACTCAGTTGTTATGGGTAAATTCTCCCGGTGAGTAATGCTTGGTTGTTGCAATCAAGCACTTAGTTCCCAAAGCATCTTAGCTGCACCTATTGCTTTAACGATGGCAATTACAACGGGTGTGGTCGTTTAGTTTTACCAAACAACATTTTGGCGTTCACCTGCACCAGTGAGTGGCCTACAACCTGCCGCCATCATGCTCACACATCTGCACACACACACCACACACACACACACACACACAGCATCTCTTCTTCTGTCGCTACAGTGCTCTGACTGTATTTGCTGTGTGTTTGCAGATCACCGGCTCCAAGAACGAGGATCAGATCCTGAATGCTATCGAGGCGTACACAGAACAACGACCCGAGCTGGCCCATCGAGCCATTAACCAGCTGTTTGACATCGCCAGGATTCAGCACTGCAGCCAGCTGCTGCGAGCACTGCAGGTCACACACTCACTCACTCACTCACTCACTCACACTCACTCACTCACGCACTCACTCTCACTCTTTCTCACTCACACACACACACACACACTCTCTCTCACACACACACACTCTCTCTCACACACGCACTCACTCACTCACGCACTCGCACTCACGCACTCACTCACTCACACTCACTCTCACTCACTCACTCACTCACTCACTCACTCACTCACTCACTCACTCACTCACTCACTCACTCACTCACTCACTCACTCACTCACTCACTCACTCACTCACTCACTCACTCACTCACTCACTCACTCACTCACTCACTCACTCACTCACTCACTCACTCACTCACTCACTCACTCACTCACTCACACACACTCACTCACTCACACACACACACACACTCACACACTCACTCACTCACTCACTCACTCACCCATCTACGCACACAGACTCACATGCAATCACACACTCACAGGTGCTTTCCTGAGCAGCTTCACGTTAATAAACAGGAAATTAACGTTAATGTTGCAAAGTTAGTGTCATTATTCAGCTCAGTTCAGTTCAAGTTTTTGTCCTCATCTGTTAGTACCAAACTACCAAATTTTGCTTAATCGCAATGTTTAATCGCAACATATAATCGTTGCCGTTAATAGTGTTCACCGTCTGTTTGATTACGTGTAATTTGTAACTAACTGCATGATTCTTACTGTACATTTCTGCCATAGTCACCACTAATAACCTACTCCTAAATATAATGTAGAAACTTAATATTTTCTGTAAAGCTACTTTGCAATGATTTGTATCATGAAAAGCTCTATACAAATAAACTTGAATTGAATTGAATTGATGGTGACAGTTAGGGGTGTGCGATATTGACAAAAATAATATCTCGATATTTTCTGGGATTTTATTGATAACGATAATTAGACGATATTTTGTTATTGTGCTGACATCTTAAGGACTGCCATGGGCAGCTAACTCGTGAGGTTTTTAATATTCTTCATATTCTGTGTGGTCAGATCACACTGAGAGAAATTAATCTTTTCCAATAAGTTTAAACTAATTTTTACCATTTTATGGGCATTTTTACTTTTATAAAGCCATTTTTCTAAAAGTTTGCATTGTCTTTTGAGTCAAATTCTTACATTTAATCAGTGAATTAGAATAATAAGACATTTGGGCTGTTACCAAGCCAATTAAATCAGTATCAATAAAATTAATCTTTGCAATGCAGAGGAAGCACAGAAGCTGTGTCTGAAGTGGCATTTAGATGTATTTACACACTGTTATTTAGTGCAGAACATGAATGCATTTAGCCTGCAATTACAAATGCATAAATAATGTTTTGATATATTAAACATTAAACGTTGAAAACTGCTATTTGAAATTATTTAAAAAGATACTTTAAATGTGAAATTAAAAGGTGGCAGCAAGTCACGGTTTATAAGTGAATCATTGCAATTGAACCGAATTAAACGGTTGATTAATTCAAGAACGAAACACCGTCATGCAGTGCATTCATGTGATCTCTGACTGCGGTGTCCCAGCGCACACGCATATAACACGTGTGTGAGTTAGTGCATCTGCTGTGTGTTTTCAGCTGGTGATCACAGCGCTGAAGACTCATAAATATGACAAGAGCATTCAGGTGACGGGCAGCGCCGCTCTGTTTTACCTCACCAACACTGAGTACCGCAGCGACCAGAGCGTCCGTCTGCGCAGACAGGTCATACAGGTGGTGCTCAACGGCATGGAGCATTACCAGGAGGTGACGGTGAGTTCAACACACACACTCACACTCCCACACACACACAATCTCTCTCTCACACACACACACACACACACACACACACTCACACTCTCTCTCTCACACACACA